ACTTAGGTGCTACTTTTAGGCCTAAAATACTTTGTGAATTGCTCTTAGTGAATACAATTAGGAGTCCTAAATTTAAGACTGACACGCCCATTATGTTTAGGAGTTTCTCCTAAATTTGCCAGTTAGGAGCTACTTTTAGCCCTAAGATCCTTTCTGAATACGGCCCCTGGTGTACAATCAACTTAAACTTAAAAAGGGAAAAATGGTTTTCTCTCAATAACAAACTGTTCACACAACTATTGAAATAATATGTTGTTTACAAGGATTACAATAAGAAAAGGCTTTTAAAGAATTAGCCTTACTATTACAAGTACCTTTTTGTAAAGGTAGTTGAATATACTGTGTGGTTCAACTGGTGTGGTGAAGCCTTTATCATAGACAATTCATCTAAAAGCATGGGCCAAGTAAGAACCCATTACATGTTGGAGAAGACCCTGGTTATAAATTAGAAGTACATAGACAGAAACGTTACACACTTCCTATGCTACAGCCACCTGTGCTCAGCTCATCACTCTCACCTCCCCGAAGCCCTCCAGCGCTCGTAGTGCAAACAGCCATTGGGACCCCATCTGAGCAGCCAGAGGGGTGAGCAGCGTGAGGAAGGCAGTGACCAGCACCCCGACACCCAGGAAGATACTCCCCCCATAGTGACCCGACAGGTAGCCCCCCGGGATCTGTGTGCACAGGTATCCGAAGAAGAAGGCCCCCAGCAGCCAGCCCTGAGTCTCCGAGTCCCAGGGGTACTGGGGGATCTGGGAGAGGAGGAAGGGAGGGTGTATTGGGGAGGCATTAGACTCTGTTGACAGGCCACACACTCTCTTAATATGATGTTTACCCTCCAGGCAAAGGTGGTCCACTTCCAAGTGTGTGATAGAAGTTGTATACAATATGTATTTGTTTTAAATGTGTAAGTTATTGTCTTTTTTACATTTAAAGCTTCCATTGAGGTTTTTTGGATATTGGATGTAGTCATCAGCGGAAAACAAAAAAATAAAAATGTATTAAATAAAAAAGCTTCAGTTTGAATGAAAAGATTAATTGGATGAAATTAGTACTTTTTATTAATAACAGGACAAACACAAACACATATGTTTCGAAGCAAGGTCTTAATATTTGACAAGAGTAAAACATTTTGGGAATTTTGGTAATCATTACATAAAACCTTTTCAAAACAGGTTGACTTTTGGATGTTTGTATCGTTTTTGCATAAAAAAACAATCCTACAAGCCGCCACCACGTAATATTAGCCTGCAACTTTGCAAAATATTGAATTAAACAATGAAAAAAATAGTAATCTGAAAAATTTATATTTAATTCATTTTGAAGTCATTAGCTTCCTCTCTAGTTACTCTTTTTATCGACTGCAAATCTGACTGAATAATGTACTTTTCAGAGAGGTTATGACTTTCCTTACTTAATTCAAACAAAACATACACTCTGACTAACTAACTGATACCATGTCATCTTGTTTACCAATGTTTTGTTCCAGACTACTCACGTGTTGTTATTGTTGGTCACATGATAATGAGTGGAAGTGGAGATGCATTCATGTATTTATGTAACTTAGGAAATACACTGCCGTCCAAAAATAAAGTCACCAACTGGATTTAACTAAGCCAATCTATAAGAGCCTTCAATTTGATAATTACTGCAGTGATGAAAATGTTTCAGCCCGCAACAAGTTATTTAACCCCAGCTGTTGCGGTCTCATTTCTTAAACCACCATGTCAGAAGAAGACATATCCTGTGGTCGTGGAGAGGAGAGGATGTTAATCAGTTTCAGAAGGTTCAGATTATTGGCCTGCATCAACCAATGAACACAACCAATATAAGGAGATTGTTGAAACTAATAAATCACTAAATCAGTGAATCCAGATGTACCCTCTTCCGGAGTGATGGGCGCATCAGGGTAAGAAGAGACGCGGATGAAGTGATGTACCCATCATGCCTAGGGCCTACCGCACAGGCCTGTTGGGGCAGTGTTAGGATCTTGGGTTGCTGCAGTTGGTCAGGTTCAGCAACGTTATGTTCCCAAAGAATGAGGTCAGCTGATTACCTGAATATATTGAATGACCAAGTCTTTTCATCAATTGAGTTTTTCTTCCCTGATGGCACGGCCATATTCCAAAATGACAATGCCAGGATTCCTTGGGCTCATATTGTGAATGAGTGGTTCAGGGAGCATGAGACATCCTTTACAAATGGATTGGCCCCAAAGAGTCCAGACCTCAGCCCCATTGAGAATCTTTGGGATGTGCTGAAGAAGACTCGGTGCGACCCATCATCAATACAAGATCTCGGCAGAAAGTTAATGCAACTCTGGACAGAAATACATTTTGTGACATTGCAGCAGCTTGTCTAAATGGTGCCACGGCGACTGCATCCCGTAATCAAAGCTAAAGGCGGCCCAACTAAATATTAGAGTGTGTCTTTTTCTTTTGGACGGGCAGTGTATAATGTGTATTGTATGTATGGGATTGACTGTTACCCCTGCAGGTTGATGGAAAGAGTCGCTGCTGTTGTCCCCCCCGGGTGGCAGTGGACAGGCAGAGACCACCGAGCTGTTCAGGGCTGGTTTGGGTTCAGTAGTATTCACCATGGCTACCATGGCAACACTGAGGTTGACACGGAGCCCGTACACCATGGAGAACCCACAGAACATCAGGAAGGCCAGGTTGAGGCGCGCCGAGCAGCACTGAGGAGGAACTGAGCACACAGAACATACAACACAAAGATTCTTACATGAAGGGAGGACTGTGAGAACAGAGTCACTGTGAAAACCATTTAAAATGATTCAGATCCATTTTGACTTTCGCTTCTTTTATCTATTGAGAAGGTTATCTTACTTTTTTTTAAAGAACTATATCTTAAGCTAAAATATAACAAATCAGAAAACAAGCTCCGGTATTACAAGATGGTATTGTGCTGGTTTTTAAGATAATGACACTCACCTATATATAATATTTAAAATAACTAACATTTTAACAGCATTTGATGTTAAATTGATATCTAGTTAATCGTGTATTCAATTCCAATCCAAATATTGGCATTGCATTTGACGTGTGTAGCCAGAGCACACTTACTTTTAGGAAAGACAATCAATGAACAAAAATTGAATTCAATGACAATTTAGGTTAAAAGAAAAACTAAAGCTAAGTAAATAATAATATAAATATTCATAAAATAAGTAAACAAATGAGTGATGACTTCTTGACATGACTTCTTATGTTTATATTATATTAATTGTTTTTATCTTTATTTGGCAGATTACTTAAATAATATATTATGTTTATATATCTTATTTTCTCCTTTATTCCACATTTGAATTTCTTTATTATACTCTAATGGAACAACTGTCATTAAAACCAGTGTTCCTGATGAATCTACTTATGACACAAAAACATTACACACTTTAAATGCAATGTTTGAACAAAGCAGTAAATGCAGCTTAAAGGTAGACACTCAGCTACCCCAGTTTCCTGCAGCATCATCACTTTTCCTGCAGTCACTTGATGGTCAGCTGCCTCATAAAACTTTCTAAATATATATATATATAATATCATTGTAGTCTTAAATATAATTGCCGCAAATGTTCATTGGAATTTGTTTCTTTTAAACATTGGATAAATAAAGTATATATCATCTATCTATCTATCTTATTCTTAGTATTGCCTAAATTATGTTTATGCCTGTGGCTTCTTGACCTCTCCTGACTATTTTATAATTTTTTCACTTTCTGAATTTTATGCAGTGTTATGTGTGTGCAAGTAAAAAATAGTGAAAATGTGTCAATTTATCTTAGGTTAAAGGTGGGGTAGGTCATTTAGGAGAAACCAACTCTAGTGAACTAGAATTTGAAAATACACAGCCGGAAAAAAATCTGCCACTTCCTTACAGAGCCAACACACACAAAACCGAACGCGCACATGACCAATGAGGGCACGAGATAAGTTTCTGCACAGATGGAAGGCTGACAGGCAGGTAGGCCATCCAGTTATTTTAGCCGGGCCGGCTCAAATGATTGGTCGTGCTTTTTACAGTACTACGGCTTCCACAGATGACATTTTTGTATGGATTTTTTGTCAAAGCACTTCAGATATTCATTGCTATTGGGATGTTAAGAGCATTCCATGGAATATAACAAAAAGCGTATCTCGAGCCGGTTTCTCAAACTTACCTACCCCACCTTTAACATAATAGTCAAATGTAGTTGTTTGCTTGGACTTCTGCTGGGACAAAATGTACAGACCAAACGATAAAACAATACAACGACAGGCAGTTTAATTGATAATGAAGATAATTGCTGGGTGCAGCCGTAATGAATACACATTCTAAGTGCTGTAAAAGATACACATACTTGGATCATTGTAGATGAGGGGTTCAGTGTCCTCGCCTTCGTCCAAAGGGGCCGTGTTGATGGAGTTGTCATTGGGTAGCGGCATGGCACTCTGGAAATATTAAGTGGGTAAAAGGATGTCTGTGAGCATTGGTGGCCACGCAACCTGCTGAATGGAAGATGTTAGTCGTTTAAAACAACAATGACGCACAACTGGGAAGTGAGAAAAGCACATGACTCAGACGAATCAATACAAGAAAACAACACATTCAAGCCTCACCAAACATGATCTTACCAGAGTTACTGATGCTCGGGATGGATTCACTGCAGAGGGAGAGTGATGATGGAGCTCAGCATGAGTTTGTCTCTTTATTAAACTGGAACCTGTGAACAAAAAATAAAAGGTCACATTACAACAGAATACACTTTGGTTCTTCTATCGTCAAAACATCTCATTTTCGATAGAGTTGCAAAGATTATTCGACCTTATGAATAAAATCTATTCATTGCTAAAGTAATTTATTCGCTAAAATTGCAGATAAAACTGTTTTCAACCTCTGCAATATGAAAATGTTCAACCTTTTCTCAATTTGATATCATTTTAAAGTGGACACCAAGACATTTAAAGACATCCGATTCAGCCTTTTTCTGTCATTTTATACAGAGTACATATTGATAATCAGTTCATCTAGAAAATAATCACTTTATCATTACAATAATACCTACCCGATGTACCTATTGCTCACTATATATAAAATAAATTGTATTCAGTCATTCTTTCATTCATTCTTAAAAATAAATAAAAATGCCGGATGTATGTAGGTTCCTACTTCCTAAATGTTTTTGTTGTGACCTGGCTCAAAAGGCCACAACAAAGAGGAGACACACCATATCAACGGTTTAACAAAATATGTTTATTAAAGCAAGTGGTTCAAATTAGCCTAATTAATTAAGTGCAAAACAAGTAACACATGAGGTGGGGATGTCAGTGGTAGTGATGTTACGTATTGCGCCGAGGCTTCGGAGCGTGTGTCGAGTAATCCCCGAAGCTTTTTGTGAAGCATGTATCGAGGCTTGTATCGTTCTGGGCCAGTGACGTCATCGATGACAAACGAAGCCTCGCTGTCTGTCGATACCACGTGACTGCTTAAGGAAGCGATTCAGATCGGTTGAACCACAACGCTCATAATACCCATGGATGTATAATAAGAACGATATTACCCCTCCTGTACCCGGGCCCGCTGGTGACACGATGGAATTAAAAGAGCTCAGAACCTCACTTATATAGAGGTCGGAACATGTCATAAGTATAAATAGATACAAGCATAAATAAATGTAGGAATAAAAACATGAATAAATACAGGAATAAATATGTTTCAGTGTTTTCAGGGAGATTCAGCGTGTGTGCTGTGGCTCAGCTGGAAAGCAGTTGACTCACGACCATAGGGTCCCTGGTTCAACGACTCTTCAATAGGTCTTTTTTGTTGTTTATAAAAGCTACAGCTAAATGAGACAATGTAGTTAATAAATGTATTCTTTGATATGGCTTAGCCTTTCTCAGGCTACAACATGGTTAAGTTTATGAATATCAGTAAGAATAACCAATCATACCAGCCTCCTTAGGCTTTTCAATCACAATCAACTGGAATAAAAACAATATTGTTAACATGAAAATATGATTTAATGTTCGTTGTTTAGAGTTATTCTAAGGCTTTACTCATTGGGAACTCGGTATGAGATAGAGCACACTGTTGAGATTTCCAATCTGCCTGTTTCACGCACTTTGACCAACAGGGGGTTTGTGTTCAAATGAAGCCCATGATGAAGCCTCATGAGATGAACCCTTTGCAAACCAATTGGCTGGAAAGCTTCAAAGCTTCATAAGGCTTCATCTCGCCATCACTACCTGCTTGCCACCTAAGACGCACTTAGTGACCAGTACTGC